CCTTCAGGGTGGATATAGCTCGCTCACACCAAGGACCTGTCCACGTCATTTACCCAGAATGCTTTGCGTATAAATAAAATGGCCATGTTAAAATATATCTTTAAAGATTATAAAAACTAAACAGCCTACAGTATTTTTACAGTCTTTATTTTACAGTTAAAATGTTGGTTTATCAAATAAAGTCTAATGTTACAACTAATCGGGGATCCCTTTAAAAAAGATAAAAATATAATCTGAGCAGAGGTGACTTGACGACTAATATTCTAGTCATACCCCTCTCAATATGTCACCGTGCAAAACAAAGTGCAGTTAGTTATTCTAGACCCCCAGAGAGGCCTGGGGGACCAAACCACGCAGCAGTCTTTCACTTTGCTCAATCAGTAATCCAGTCTGGTTTTGTTGTACAGAGCAGGCTGCYRTTTGGCTGAACGTTGGTCTATTCAYATGAGAGAAACAAAAGCTATCCAGTAGACAGCAACAATCGTGCCTTTATGTTGTGAGATGAAATATGGTGAAACACTGTAAATTATTTCTTCCACCCCCACATCGCTTATTCATTACAACTGCGTAGAAATGACATCTTGTTTGATTTAACACAACAAACTTTCAGTAAGATTAACGCTAAAGAGTGTTTTTTTTAATCAGCTTTTGTTGAAACACTTTTTTAGGTTAATAATTYAAAGGAAGTTTCATCCTGCTAAAGACACGTTTGAGCTTCTTCCCTCAGGGAGACGGTACCGTTCTGTCAAATGTACTACATCTCGTCATTTAAATAGTTTTTTTCCACAAGCTCTGAGGGCTTTGAATAATACATGTTAACTTTCTAAAGTTAACATGGAATGTAATTTGTTCTGTGACTTTTCTGTCTGTTGCAAATGAGGGGTTCTGTGTTCAGTGTTTTAAAATTTTTTAACTTTTTAAATTTTATTTTATAATCTTTTTAATTAGTCTATGTGTGCATGTTGAGGATGTGAGCTCTTGCTACTGTTTTTCCAACKTAGGTTTTCTCCTGCAAATGGCAAACAAACTTGAACTTGAGGGAACTGTAGCGACATACATGCGGCACTCTGAGCTCAGCTCAGGTTACTGTAGTCTCTTTCAGTATTCAAACAAGGAAAGAGAAACATTGCTTGTAGAAAACCTTGCAACGCTTCAGTTGTGTTAAAGTTGTTTGAAAACTGCTTCAGCATTAAGAAGCTGAATTTGACAGGTATTCAGAGTGAACAGTTTAATGTATATACAGTGTCATATAAAAAATAGACCAACATGAATACATTTGCTCAATGACTTTACACTATTTAAAGACAGAAAATAAGCAATTTATTCATTCTTATTCACAAGAAACTAACTGTGCAATTATTAAAACATTATTAGAACCCAACAAAAACTCACCAAACAGCTACAATGAAGAATATGAGATAAAAACCTACCTGTTCAAGTTTATAATGAGTTCTGAGCCGACCACGTACACCACACATGTTGTTTTATCATAATCTATTCGGAGAGTCCGCTGGTGAACCATGGCTGCAGTTCCCCCACAGTGTGACAGCCAGACACCAGCTCCAAGCCCTGCTGTTGATCTTTTATCAGGAGTCCAAACTGGTCTGAGACCAGGGCAGAGCAGCTGTGAGGGGAGGGAGGTGCTGAGTCCAAAAATAATGAGCCTCCATGTGTTTCCCCATAGAAACACACTGAGATCTCATTTCATTCAAAATACTGTTTCTCTTTGAGWTCTGCTCGCTCTGTTTATGTCTCATGCTGAGTTTATAGCTACYATTCTACTATTTTAGCTAACCTGTTGCTACTTTCTGTGTTGTATAAAGTACCACAAAGTGATACTTGAGTAAAAGTACAAGTATCTTACCAAAAAAWTACTTTGATTAACGTTAAAGTCTCCTTTAGGAATCTTACTTGAGTAAAAGCCTTAAGTTTTGATTTAAAATTAGCAGTAAATATGCATGTCACCATGCATCTTCATACTAGGCTACATATGTCTGCTATGTCCTGCTGGAGTGTGACATGATTTGTTTGTGTACAAACTAATATGGTGTCGGAATTTTATATATTTATTCTTCTCATTCAACCACAATTAAATTCTCTCTATCTAGGAGGCACAGTTTATATGGATAGTATTTATTTTTACAATAACAAGCTGGAATGAAAACCAGCAAAAATGAAATAAAAGCAACAACTTTCTACTTCTTCTCTTTTTTTAAAAATGTAAGGAGTAGAAAGTACAGATAACTGTGTGAAAATGTAAAAAGTAGAAGTAAAAAGTAGGCTGAAAAATCATTACTCAAGTAAAGTACAGATACCCAAAAATTCTACTCAAGCACGGTAACAAAGTATTTGTACTTAGTTACTTTACAACTCTGACTACTTTTGGCTTTCAGCTGGTATTTTTTATTTTTATTAAGTTTCAGCTTCTTCAGAAAATTGTAGCKGTCATCCATTTCTCAGCAATCACAGAGCGTTTTTGCAGAAACATTTTCTCAAGTTTCCTTCTCAAGAGTCTGATGCTCAAAGTGAATTTCACTCTCATCCTGACGTCGTCTGCACCTCTGAGGGAAGAGCTTCACTAAAGGTACTGTTCTGCCAAAGGACGTGAATGTAATGTTTAATATAAATGTATTTAAATATATTTTCAAAATAAGAACAGATGCATTGAGTCAATTTGACTGAGACAAAGCTTTATGGATAGGATTTACATTGTGTAAAGGTTTTAAAAAAAGACACCAAATACATTGAAATGATTTTATGAACAAAAAACTGCAAGTGTAAACAGAACAATGTTTAGAAAATACCACTAATAAGACAAATTATGATTGAAATCTTTTCAGTTGGATTTTAGATTTTGCAAATGTTTTGCATAGATAGTCTACCCTCTTGTGGCTCTGAACCATTATTGCACATTACTAAGATCCTTTTAGTATGTTTTTCCAATCCATGTTAGGTTATTAGAATATCAATTTATAT